GGGCAACCGCCCGGCCCGGGCCAGGCCAGGCCCTGGCTGCGGCCTCCGCGTGTGCCCGCGCTGCTGGGGCTGCGGGCGGTGGGTCAGAGGCTGGCGCACGGGCCCTGCCTTAGACGCCGCCGCCAAAGTTCTCCTCGTCCTCGGGCACCGGGTCGGCGTCCCAGCAGGTGATGTCGATCTCTGCAGAGAGAGGGGCACGTGCGGGTCAGCAGGGTCTTGCTGACGGCCCAGGCCCAGGCCCATGCCCACGGCCAGCAGGACACGGGCTGGACTCTGCCAGCGCTGGACGACGGACACCCTGCCCTGGGCGGCAGCAAGGGGCTGGGCTCCTGGTGGGCCACGGGCTCCAGGACTGCGGTCCCGCACGGGGGGCGAACAGCGGGGTGGGATGCATCAAGAGAAGCATCGGGCAGGACAGTGTCTCCGTTTGGCCCTGGCCAGGCCTCGGCGGAGCACTGCGCACGCCCGAGCTCCACCTTCAAAAGGACGTGGCGAGGCAGAGAGAGTCCAGAGGCAGGCGACTGAGGCGATAAAGGGCTGGGAAGGCAAAGCTGTGTGGGGAGAGGCTGGAGGAGCGGGGCAGGGTCTGCTTGCGGAGACGGTGCTTGCGAGGGGATGTGACAGCGGCCTTCAAGCACCTGAGGGGCTGCCAGAACGACCCCCCCTTTCCCACTGCTGCACCGAGCAGGACCCGGAGCCGGGTCATGAAGTGGCAGCAAAGCCGGGTCCAGTTGGCGCCGGGAGAATGTCGCCTGTCCGTGCGGTGGGGTCGGGTGCGGGCGGCTCAGGCAGCACCGGGCAGGGCCCGTGGAGGGGCAGCCGGGCCTGCAGCGCATGGTGGGAGCCCGGGAGGCCCCACGCAGCCTGCGCTGGGCGTGGCGGGACACACCTCAGCCCAGAGCAGCCGCAGGCCGGCGAGTGCGCAGCGGAGCTTGGCACGGTCAGAGCTGCGGGCCGGACGGGACTGCCAGAGCCCACGTGTAGCCCAAGCCTGGCCTGAGGCAGGATTAGCCCTGTCCACACTAGCCCAGACAAACCTCGTGTCCAACCTCGTAGCAAAACTACAGGCAGCCCTGACAGTGCCAGACATCACACCCCAACCAGCCCCGGGAAAGCAGCATCCTCGTAGATGCTCCACACAGCCCAGGCTGAGGCCGTGCCCCCTCCGCAGGGGCAGGGACCCCCGTCAGTCCAGACCGGTCTGAGCAGGGGGGAAATCCCCTCCTGCCCCAGTGCAGCGTTGCACTGAGCCTGAGCACAGGGGCAAGACCCTCCAGCCAGGACCTGGCACCGCCCGGTCCCATCCCCAGCAGCACTCGGCACCCCTGGGGGAAAACCCCCCCACCCCCCACCAGTGGTAACAGCAAGCGGGGAAAAGTCCTTCCTCGTCCCCACAGCAACCAGCACAGTCCGAAGCCTGGGGCACCGTGCCCACAGCACAGCACAGCACAGCACAGCACAGGCACCGCTGTGCCTAGATCCTCCCCGCCCAGCGCCCATCCAGCCTCTCCTCGGCACCTCCCGAGACGCAGAGTCCTCCCTTCCCTGGCGTCTCTCCCGCGGCCCTGGCTCCAAACCAGCTTTGCTGCAACCTCGAGCCATTGGCCCACTTCTTACTTCCTGCAGCAGGAGAGGCCAGGGGCTTTCCCTCTCCTCTCTGGCAGCCCGTCAGGCCCATGGAGACTGCTGCCGTGCCCCCTTGATCTCCTTCGCATACTGAGCACGCCCAGCTCCTTCAGCCGCTCCTCGCAGGACTTGCTTTGCAAGCCCTCGATCATTTCTGTTGCCACCTCGGGCCCCCTCTATCTTCTTCGTGTCCTTTTTAAAACATGGAGCCCACAACGACACACAACATCCAGCTGAGGCACCATCACCTCCCGTGTCTTGCACCTAACGCTCTGCCGGAAGCATCCCAAACCCGCACGGACCTTTTGTGCGGCTGTACCACACTGCAGACTCCGATCGAGTCTGTGACCTACCAGGACTCCCAGATCCTTCTCCACGGCGCTGCTGTCCAGCCCGTTACCTCCGCCGGGCATCCGTGTTTTGGTTATTGCCCCCGAGCGGCACCACCTTGCGTTTGCCAGCCACGCACCGCGTCCCGTCAGCTCCAGCCTGGCTTTTCAGGTTGTCGAGATGCCTTGTGCTCCCACCCTCCAGCATGCTCCCAATCCTTCCCACTTCTGTGTCATTGGGAACTAGCTCAAGCAGCTTTCTGTGCTGGCATCCAAATCACTAACATGTTGAACAGCTGCAGGCGGGGAGAGACCCCAGCGGGACTCCCCTCCAAGCCTCCTGCCGCCCCAAGAGGCTCTGTTTGTAACTCCCTGTTGCTTGTGGCTACTGGACCAGCTGCCAGTCCCCCTTGCAGGGGGCCGTGCAGCAGGGGGGTGGCGAGGGGGTTCTGCTTCCTGTCCCCAGGCTGCAAAGCCGGGCAGAGGAAGATGGTTTTTCCCCTCCTGCTGCTACATGCGTGGGGGTGGGTTTCACCTTCCCCAGCAGTGCTGGGCGCTGGCCCGCAGGGTCCTGGCTAGGGGGTCTTGCCCTCCATGCAGGCTCAGACCAGTGCTGCACTGGGGGGGAAAGGATTTTACCCCGTTGTCAGATTTGTCTGGAGGGGGCAGTGGCGGGGGCGGGGTTGCTTCCTCTGCAGTAGGGTCACTGGCTTTGGCTTGGGGTCTCTTGAGTGCATTGAACCGCCCCGGGTGCAGCAGGACACCCAGACCCTCGTGCCCCAGCAGTAGCGGGGTAGGGCTGGGACTCGCAGCACCCCGGGGCACTGGGGCTGGGGGCTCTGCCTGGGGCTGGTGCAGCCTTAGGGACAGGTCAGACCAGGACGTGTCTGGGAGGGTTTGGACAGGGCTGCTGTCGCCCCGAGCAGCGGCTGGGCAGGGCATGACCCCGAGGGGGACCGAGCGCTCGCTGCGGCCCTCCGCCAGGGCTGCGGTGCTGGGGCCCGGCCTGGGGTGCCCTGGGCTCACCTGGCGGCTTGTTGTAGAAGACGGGGGGCGGCGCCTTCGCCGACGGCTCGTCAGCCTGGGTCACATCGTCGTCCTGCGACTGGCTGAAGTAGCCCTCGCTAGCCTGGGGGGGAGGCGCCATCAGGGGCAGCCGCACGAGGATGTGGCCAGATGTGCCCCCGTGCCCCTCGCTCCCAGGCACCTGGAGGCCCCCCCATCCACCGGGGCTTTGTGCCCCCCAGGACACCATCCACGGCCTGGACCCAGGGCCTGCCATGCCAGGCTTTGCCTAGCGGGCGAGGGCCAGGCTGGGCCCCACGTCCTGCTCACCTGCGTGCTCTCCTTCAGGGCCATGTCCCCGTTGGTCATGAGCTCGGGCAGGGGGTCGGGGTGCCCACCCGCAGCCTCCTGCAGCGCGTGCTGGTAGCTGAGCGTCATGGGGTGCGTCCCCTCCAGCGCAACCATGCTGGGCAGCTCCTCATCCTGCTCCGCATCGCAGAAGGTGGCCGGTGGCTCCGGCAGCTCGTCGAAGTTCAGCAGGTTCCCGTCCTCGGGGCCTGCCGACAGCGGGGGCTCGGGGGCGGCCAGGGGCACTGCCACCTCTGCGGGCGCGGGCACGGGCACGGGCACAGGTGCGGCCAGCTCTCCAGGCAACTCCCAGGTGCCGGGGGCAGTGCTGTCGTCCTGCCACAGCTCGAGGAGGCTCTCGGGTGCAGGCGTGGGCGGTGGCGGGGGCTGGCCCTGGGCCTCAGCCTCACCCAGCGGGAGCAGCACCGGCCCTTGGGTCTCCAGCGCGAGCAGGTCTGCAGTGGCGGGGCCTAGCCCGGGCCCCAGTGCCTCTGTCCACTCGTCCCCCAGCGCAGCGGGGCCCCCAGGCAGCTCCTTGGCCTTCGGGGCCGGCTGCACCTCGCTGGAGAGGGGCCAGCGCTGCTCGGGCGCCACGGCCGCCGCCTCGCTGCCAGGGCTGGGGGCGTCTGCAGGGAGAGGAGGGCGAGGGGCATCAGTGCGGCAGCCCCGCACAGGAGATGCTGGAGCAGGGTGGGGGCGGCAGCAGAGGCCCCGGCACCTACCGTGCGGCCTCGGCTGCAGGGTCACCTCATCCAGCGCCCGCTCGATCTGCTCGCCCACGGGCGTGGAGGCCGCGCTGGAGTCGCAGGGGCTGCAGCCCCCGGTTGAAGCCTTTCTGTGGGTGTCTGACTGGCTACCTGAAAAGGGCGAGATGGGTGAGGTTGGGGGGCTGGCCCCGGCCCCCTATGCGCAGCCAGCCCTGCCTGGAGCTGCCCCTGGGGTGCCCACCCCTCCTGCCTGGGATGGAGCGTCGTACCCGGCCCTGCCCTGCTTGTGGGCTGCACGCTGCACGGGCAGCTGCAGGGCGCAGCTGGCAGGACCATCAGTGGGGGTGGGGTCGAATTGGGGCAACTGCCTGAGGCCCCCGGGTTTTGTGGGGCCCGTGGAGCTGGGCAGAGTGGCCATGGCGACTCCACGCCGCCACCGACTTCACATCCAGCCCCTCACTGCTCCCCCCACCCTCCCACCCCCAATGCCGACGCAGCTTCTTCGGGTCCAGGGCGTGTGGGATCAAAGTGGGAG